GCTGCAGCTTGCCTGCCTGGGAGCAGTATCAGAAGGAGGCTGCAGTCCCTGTGGGTTTTCCAAGGGTGGGGACACAGCCTGGGCTGCAGAAGCACTGCCAGGGGAGGAGAGGCAGCCCCGGGTGGGAGGAGGGGGTCTGCATTAACTCTCTCTCTCCCCTTTCCTATTCACAGGCAGTGCAGACCTGGGAATTTCTCTGAGTCCTAGGCTCTCCCCCAATTCATTTCCCACCCTGTGCCGCCCTGGTCTGCGCCCAGAGCCAGTTCCCGCCCCTAGTAGCAGCCTCCACGCTGGCGCTGGCAGACACTGAGGCCATGGAGGTGACGATGCTGCAGGACTGGTGCAGGTGGATGGGCATCAGCGCCCGCAGGGGCCTGCTCATCCTGGGCATCCCGGAGGACTGTGACGAAGACGAGCTGCACGAGTCCCTGGAGGCCTCCCTGTGGCAAATGGGCCACTTTGAGGTGCTGGGCAAAGTGTTTCGAGAGGAGGACAATGCCAGTGCGGCCCTGGTGGAGCTGGACCGGGAAGTCAACTATGCTTTGGTTCCCAGGGAGATCCCAGGCATCGGGCGTCCCTGGACCGTGGTCTTTGTGCCCAGATGCTCAGGGGAGGACTTTCTGGGTCGCGTGTTCCACTTCCTGGAGCAACAGGGGCAGACTGTGGAGAGCGTGGCCGGAGCCCTGGGGCTGGGGCTGCGCAAGGTGTGCTGGCTGAGGTCTGTCAGTCAGGCCATCCAGCCCTGGGTGGAGACAGTGCGGTACCAGCCCCTGGGGGTGTTCTCAGGGAGGGACCAGCCAGCCCCGGGGGAGGAGTCCTTTGAGGCCTGGCTGGACCACACCACTGACATGCTGCTTGTGTGGCAAGGGGTCTCAGAAAGAGAGAGGAAGAGGCGGCTGATAGAAGGCCTCCGAGGGACAGCCTTGCAGGTGGTGCACGAGCTGCTGGCGGAGAACCCTGCCAGGACGGCCCAGGATTGCCTGGCCGCCCTGATCCAGGTGTTTGGAGACCACGAGTCCCAGGCCACCCTGCGGCTCAAGTGCCTGACCGCTCAGCAACGGTCAGGCGAGACTCTCTCCGCTTTCGTGTTGCGGCTGGAAGTCCTGCTACAGAAAGCCATGCTGGAGGGGGCCCTGGACAAGGCCTCAGCTGACCACTTGCGCATGAGGCAGGTGCTCACCAGGGCCAGCATCATTGAGCCGCTGCGAGAGGTCCTGAAGAGGCTGGGCATGGTGGGGAGGCGTCCAACTTTCCTGGGGATGCTGGGGCTGGTTAATGAGGCTGAGGCATGGGAGGCCCATATAACCAGGAGCCTAGAAGCCCAGCCGGCACAAGGGGCTGCTGCCAGGGCCAGTGCCCAGGCTGATGCCAGAGCCAAAGCTCAGGCCGAGGGTGACAAGGTGGTGGAGAAGCAGCAGCTGCAGGAGAATAGTGACAACCGTGCCCCTGCCCTTGCAGGCCTGGGTCAGACAGCGCCCTCAGAGGCCCCTGGGGGACCCATGCCTGCCCACATGTGCAGTGCTTCCGGGGCAGGTCCGGGAGGTCCTGGCACTGTGCCAGAGGGCTTGGCCCAGGCGGGAGACCGAGAGGCCGAGGAACACCCCCAGGAGGGGCTCAAGCCCATCCCAGAGGAGTCGGAAAGTGAGGACGGGGCTGGGGAGCTGAGCCCCCCCATGTCCTCCCCTGGCAAATAGGCTCACAAGGCCCGGCACCCTCCTCTCCTTTCGGGCAGCAGAGCCCTGGAGGCGGGGGAAGAGGGGGAAGCCAGGCCAGGGCAACCTCCTCACCCCACATGGGGAGCAGGGCCCAGGGAAGGGCCCGCCCAGCTCATACCATACCCCTTACTCCCCCACCATGCTATGGGGGCCTGACCACCACCATCAGCTCTTCCAAGTCACCAAGCTGACCATGTTTGACACCCAATGGGATGGGGAGAGGTGCCCCCACATGGTAGCAACACACCTGGCCTCAGCCCCAACCCCTACCAACTTGGGCAGCTGGCCTGGGAGCACCGCTGAGCAGCCCATCTCAGCCTAGGAGAGGGGTACCTGAAGACATCTGCCACCCGTGTGGACTGGGAGACTTTAGAGCCCACCACAGGGGTGCCACTTTTGGGGACCCCCATTCTCCATCCCCTGGGGAGACCCCAACTCATTTCTCTATAGGCCCATAGTGACCCATGTGTCAAGTAATCACCCCCCTCCACACACACACACACACACACACACACACACACACACACACGCCATGGCTCCTGTGCAGAACCACCTGGTGTGTGTGAACCCAGGTGGGTGTCCTGCCCCACCCTCCCGGGGCAGTCACCTCTCAGCCCCGGCACGTGCTGGGAGCCCCACTGCCAGCCAAGGCTCTGCCAGCTCTTGTCCAGTGTCGTGAGCTCAGCCTCTGTTTTCTTGATGTAGATTTAGGCCAACCGCTGCTTGTGCTTGTGGAGATGTGTGTGTTCTTCTCTGAGCAGTTCCCTACCACCACTCCCACCCCAGACGGAGACCCCGAGCCCAGGCCCAGAAGAACGGATGAGAAGGATGGACCAGGGCGCGTCTGGCGCTCACCCAGTGACCCCGGGAAGAACTGTACAGTGGTAGAAGGCGGCTGCCAGAGGCTCCACGGACACCCTGATGCTCTGATGCCACCCTGTTGTTCCCTGTGACTCAGTTTCCTCAGCATGCTGGAGTGTCCCCTGCTGTGTTTTCCAGTGTCCTCTGTCTGTCCTGTGCAGGCCACAGGGCAGGGCCAGGCCCCAGCATGTCATCCATAGGGGGAGGGAGCCCTGCAATGAGTGGACATCACCAATGTCCATGGTCCTTTAAAGTCCAATCAAGGGGCCCTCAGGGAGGGAGACTAGGGTGGGAGGGCTGTGGTGTGGGGGAAGCTGGGGCAGCTGGTCAGAGACCCCAGGAGGAGGTGGGGGTTGTGACCTATGGGGTCTATTGGCCGTTAGAAGTTCCTCTCTGTGTTGTCATTCCCTTTCTTCAATGAATTCAGTAAATGTTTCTCTTCAATAAACTTCATTGAATGATTCAGCTGAGTTTCGCCTCTGCTGTGGGCAATTGAGGGAAGGGTCTTCTGGGGATGAGGCTGGAGGGGCAATAGTAATCTGGTACTCAGGATCATCTTTGGGCTATGTTTGGGACAGTGTCCAAGAAGGTCTGCCAGTTCCCCTGGGCTGGAAGCACTGATAGCAGGAATTTGTAGGCATGGCAGTGGCTATTTAGATCCCAAGAGACCCAGGAATAATCAGTTTAGAGGATGAAGGGAGGGGAGGAACAGCAGGTAGGACCAGAGGTCCTAGGATCCTTGACAGGGGTGTGGGCGCCCAGAGTGTCATCAGGTCAGGGAGATCACGTGTGCAGTTCAGAGACCAGAGGGCCATAGACGTGCCCAGAAGTAAGGTCAGATGCCCTTGCAAGAAGCTCTGCAGGGCTCTGGGGTGTACTGGGGTGACTGCCTACCCATCCTTGATCAGCCTACTCCTGCCAGCTGACAAATGGCCAGCCTTGGTGTTCATAATGAGGGATGTTTGGGGGACAAGAGTGTGTGATGGGTGAAGAATGGAAAGCGGGCCAGCTGGGGATTCACAGTGCTTAGCAATGCCAGTGGGGGGGCGGGGGGTGGGAAGGCTGGGACAGCCAACCCAGGCATCCAACAGAGGAGCTATTTCTACCCTCCCCAACCTGCCACGGTGTTGCATACCCAAGGAATCAAAACCAAACTACAGTAGTGTCTAGTGAAGGCCAAGTTTGGAAATGTCCAGGTCATGTGCAGAGAACGAAGGCACCCTAGAGCAGCAGCAATCTTTGCAACCACTGTAGCAGCCAGCACAGGAAAACCCACAAGGGGGAGCAGCCAGGCTACATAGGGCCTAGGAGGCTGAAGACATGGCCATTAGGATGCCCAGAAAAAGTCTCTTATGGGTGCTGGGCATAAATCCTTTCTTGGCCCCCCAACACCAAGCAGACCCTTCCCTCAATTGCCCACAGCAGAGGCGAAACTCAGCTGAATCATTCAATGAAGTTTATTGAAGAGAAACATTTACTGAATTCATTGAAGAAAGGGAATGACAACACAGAGAGGAACTTCTAATGGCCAATAGAGCCCATAGGTCACAACCCCCACCTCCTCCTGGGGTCTCTGACCAGCTGCCTCAGCAACATATGAATTTGAGGATGAGAGATACAAACATTTAGTCTGTAATAGTGGGGTAAACATTTGACTTACAATTTTGGAAAAACAGAACCTTGCAGGAGGTAGGTCTACAGTGTGCCTAGAGATCTTCCCTTCCTTCCTCGAATGCTTCCTTCTCCTGTTGCCCTTTCACCCCAGGCTTACCTCCTCTTGTGTGTAATATGGCTGCTGGGGCTCCAGCAATCACATGTTAAGGTTCAGTTTGAAGTTATTAAGTTGGTAGGGCAGGATGGGTCTGGGATGGGAAGTGGGAACTTCATGTCTCTAGGTCTGCCTTTTACCAGGGTGATAAAGTTTGTTGTCCATACAGAGGGCAATCATAGGTGAAGGGGCCTAGCCATGATTTCCAACAAAACCAGAGGTGAGTTGACAAGGGGTGAGAAGTTGGATATGTGAACCCTAGCGAAATGAGCAGGGACATAAGTCTAGTCCAGAATCAGATATTGGCTTGATTTTCATAGCACTGATTTAACCAACATTAGTTAAATGTTATTCTTAATATAAACCAAGGGCGAAAATTCCGAGGTCGGCATTAGAACACTTGGTTGCCCTACAGATGGCGGGAGGTGGGTTTTGTGGGAGGGAGGGAGAAAAGGGGGTGGGATGGAATTGCTAAAATGTATGAAATTGTTCCGGCTTGGAGAGGTCGTGACTAGGGACGTCCAGGGGCCTGAGCTTCCCCACCTCAACACTTTCCTTGTAACAAACTGCTTGGCTAAACGTGGGAAGAAAAATTGAAAGAAAATAAATGATTTTTAATCCCTGAATGCCTCTGAACTTTTTTTAAACGCCGTGTCTCAGTAATCAATCTGGTAGTTCACTGAGCAAATCACGTTCTGTACCGTTTGGGTCGCGTCCAAGTTGCTCCAGCCTCTGCCCCCTGTTCCGGTTTCCTTGGCGGGAGCATAGGTGGGCGTGGGCGGGTGTGAGGGGCGACCGGACGCCTGGGGGGGGCTCAGCTCCCCAGCCCCGTCCTCACTTTCCGACTCCTCTGGGATGGGCTTGAGCCCCTCCTGGGGGTGTTCCTCGGCCTCTCGGTCTCCCGCCTGGGCCAAGCCCTCTGGCACAGTGCCAGGACCTCCCGGACCTGCCCCGGAAGCACTGCACATGTGGGCAGGCATGGGTCCCCCAGGGGCCTCTGAGGGCGCTGTCTGACCCAGGCCTGCAAGGGCAGGGGCACGGTTGTCACTATTCTCCTGCAGCTGCTGCTTCTCCACCACCTTGTCACCCTCGGCCTGAGCTTTGGCTCTGGCATCAGCCTGGGCACTGGCCCTGGCAGCAGCCCCTTGTGCCGGCTGGGCTTCTAGGCTCCTGGTTATATGGGCCTCCCATGCCTCAGCCTCATTAACCAGCCCCAGCATCCCCAGGAAAGTTGGACGCCTCCCCACCATGCCCAGCCTCTTCAGGACCTCTCGCAGCGGCTCAATGATGCTGGCCCTGGTGAGCACCTGCCTCATGCGCAAGTGGTCAGCTGAGGCCTTGTCCAGGGCCCCCTCCAGCATGGCTTTCTGTAGCAGGACTTCCAGCCGCAACACGAAAGCGGAGAGAGTCTCGCCTGACCGTTGCTGAGCGGTCAGGCACTTGAGCCGCAGGGTGGCCTGGGACTCGTGGTCTCCAAACACCTGGATCAGGGCGGCCAGGCAATCCTGGGCCGTCCTGGCAGGGTTCTCTGCCAGCAGCTCGTGCACCACCTGCAAGGCTGTCCCTCGGAGGCCTTCTATCAGCCGCCTCTTCCTCTCTCTTTCTGAGACCCCTTGCCACACAAGCAGCATGTCAGTGGTGTGGTCCAGCCAGGCCTCAAAGGACTCCTCCCCCGGGGCTGGCTGGTCCCTCCCTGAGAACACCCCCAGGGGCTGGTACCGCACTGTCTCCACCCAGGGCTGGATGGCCTGACTGACAGACCTCAGCCAGCACACCTTGCGCAGCCCCAGCCCCAGGGCTCCGGCCACGCTCTCCACAGTCTGCCCCTGTTGCTCCAGGAAGTGGAACACGCGACCCAGAAAGTCCTCCCCTGAGCATCTGGGCACAAAGACCACGGTCCAGGGACGCCCGATGCCTGGGATCTCCCTGGGAACCAAAGCATAGTTGACTTCCCGGTCCAGCTCCACCAGGGCCGCACTGGCATTGTCCTCCTCTCGAAACACTTTGCCCAGCACCTCAAAGTGGCCCATTTGCCACAGGGAGGCCTCCAGGGACTCGTGCAGCTCGTCTTCGTCACAGTCCTCCGGGATGCCCAGGATGAGCAGGCCCCTGCGGGCGCTGATGCCCATCCACCTGCACCAGTCCTGCAGCATCGTCACCTCCATGGCCTCAGTGTCTGCCAGCGCCAGCGTGGAGGCTGCTACTAGGGGCGGGAACTGGCTCTGGGCGCAGACCAGGGCGGCACAGGGTGGGAAATGAATTGGGGGAGAGCCTAGGACTCAGAGAAATTCCCAGGTCTGCACTGCCTGTGAATAGGAAAGGGGAGAGAGAGAGTTAATGCAGACCCCCTCCTCCCACCCGGGGCTGCCTCTCCTCCCCTTCAGCGCCTCTGCAGCCCAGCTGGACCGCCATTCTCTTCCTCCACACACTGCTCCCTGGCAGGCAGGCTACAGTAGTCCTGCTGGGAGGGGGGGCGGGGTGCAGGGCGGAGGGGTCTCCAGGGGCCAAGCTCACCCTCCCTGAGTCTCCTTCTTCGTCCTTGGCATGGTCTGTCCTGATCCAGGTCCCAGAAGGAGAGACGCTCCTCTTTCCCAGGCTCTCAGGCAGTCTTTCCCTCTCTCTGTCTCAGGGCTGCCTGTAGGCCTGTGTGTCAGCGCCTGTCAGCTTGCCAGGGCTCTCTGCAGTGTGGACCAGGAGCAGGGGCGCAGTGGGGGAGGAACTGGGAACCTCTGTGTTGCCTGGGAGACGGCAGGGCCATTGGCTTGCGCAGCTCACGTGGCGGGGCTGTCACACAGCTGCTGGTGCCCTGGAACCTCTGGTGATGTCACTGGCTCCTCCCCAAGTCCCCGAGGGGGTGAGGGCACAAGTGGGGGGTGGTCCAGGGTCAGAGAGTTTATGTGCCCCTCTGGGATCCCATCCTGGCCCCTGCCCCTCCCAGAGATGACCCTTGGGGGCGCCAGCATTGGGAGATGCCCACACCCTGGGATGTCAGCCCTAGTGTGGCTAGAGGGGCGCATGGTGTTCCTGCCAGGGCTGCCTTCAGGTCAGGGGTGGGGAGCCTCTGGGGATTCTTTACATGCTCTTCCCGTCCCCCTCCCTCTCTCCTCCCAGGGCTGATCCTGTCCCAAGTCTAGGCAAGGAGCATCTGGTCTAGAGGGACACCTGGTGGTATACCATGGACTAGAGGTCGCATGCACGTATGCGTGTTCATGCACACCGTGCAAGGCACTGCCCACACCTCACTTGGTGGCTGAGGGCTGCAGGTGTTTGCCACTGAGGGTGCAGGGTGGGCCAAGGTGATTAGCTGCCCTGTTACAAGGGCCTGCCTCAAAGTGGTTGACCCAGTGTCTAAGTTGCCTGGGTCTTTTCACAATCTGTGCACCACACATCCGGTGTCTGGAGAAACTGCTTTCCCCATTTGGAGCATATCCCTTGGACCTGCCTTTCCCTGTTAGTGGTGGGCTATGGGTTTTGCAGTATCAGTTGGATCCCAGGAGGCATAGGAAAGAGGGAGGGAGTGACTGCTCTGCAGGCAGGTTGCCCAGTGGTCTGTGTGCTCCTGGCCCCCTCTTGGCAGGCCTCTCTCCAGTCACACCAGGAGGGGCTTGTGGTTGTTGCCCATGTGGGGCTCATCTACCCAGCTAGGTCTGGGTGGCCCTGAGTAGTACTGGGTGTGAGACAGAACTATCCATATGCCCTTGGACCCCACATGAGATGGTGTGTTCTGCTTATTTGCCTACTAGTTGTCAGGGAGGGGCCTAGTAGCAATGTTGCTTAAGGGGTTTTCTCTGGTCAATCTTCCTGCAAATATTCATAGGAGTTATTTCATCACCTCCCACCAGAACCCTGGCAGGTAGGTACTAATATAATCCTTATTCTACTCATGAGGCTCAGATAGGTTAAGGCACAGGATAAATGTACCTTATTGCAGGTAGAGCTGAAATTGGGTCCTAAATTGTTCCCCACAGCCCATTCAGTAGACATTTCTCCCCTGGGGGCTATATCCACATTAGAACTTCCTTCCATTATTTCTGTCTACTCACAATCCCTGTCACATTTACAAGAGAGGAAATTGGCTCAACTTCAGATTTGCAGGTTTCCTTCTGTTCAATCATGTATGAAGATGGCAAACTTTTCTAAAATTGTCTTCCTCCAAAAGTAATGATTTACTTTCTATGGCATATGGAATGGGACCTTGTCAGGATCTTTGAAAGTCTACCATGTGTGTCTTTTGTCCCTAAAGACATCTCAGAGGGTACTCAGCATCCATCTCTCATAAAATGCTTGGTTTCCAGTTTTTAAATCAGCTTTTTGTGATCCTAGAAACGCAATGAAATAGGATGCTGATCTACTAGTAAAGGACCTCATCCTGATCTGAGTTTTGCCACTCTGAGGGCTCAACCTTCTACTCAACTTACAGAGGCAGAAAGTGAAGCCAAGAGAAGGGATGTGACCAGCCCAAAGTTGCACAGTGAGTGAATGGCAAAGATATGAGACCTTAAGGAGAGATGTTCAGTATAGCCAAGGCAAAGAAGCATATGAAATTTTTCTGGAAAGAGCAATGTAGAGGTCCCAGTCAGGTGCAGTGAAGCAGATATGAAGATGTCCTGGATGTCTAGAAAGAAGGATTTGGGGACACCAGGGTCGAGGTGATAGTTTTAATGTGTTCAGTTTTTGGACCCTTTTGTAATTGGAGTTAACCTTAATCCTGGTGTAGGGGCTTCTCCACTTTGTGCCCAAAGGACAGTGAAGAATAGTGTCTCCTCTGCTCAAATAGAAGACCCTTGAAGCCAGTACAAGTGTGTTATTTTTAATTAAGAAACTTTTTTAAAAAAACAATTTTAGGTTCACAGCAAAATTGAGTGTAAAGTACAGAGTTTTCCAATATACCCCCTGTCCCTCACACATGCACAGCCTCCTGCACTATTGGCATCCGGCACCAGAGTGGTACATTAGTTACAATCAATCAGTGAACCTACCCTCACACATCATCATCACCCAAAGTCCATAGTTTACATTAGGGTTCACGCTCGGTATTGTATATTCTCTGAGTTTTGACAAATGTATAATGACATGTATCCATCATTACAGTATCATGCAGAATAATTTTACTGCTCTTAAAAAGCCCCTGTGCTCTGCCGATTCATCTCTTCTTCCCCACTAAATTCTGGAAACCACTGGTCTTTTTATTGTCTCCATAGTTTTGCTTTTCCCAGAATGTCATGTACTTGGAATCACAGTATGTAGCCTTGTCAGAGTGACTTCTTTCAGATATTAATATGCATTAAGGTTCCTCCATGTCTTTTCATGGCTTGATAGCTCATTTCTTTTTAACACTAAATAGTATTTCATTTCCTGGATGTACCACAGCTTATTCATCCATTCACCTACTGAAGGACATCTTGGTTGCTTCCAAGTTTTTGCAATCTATAAATAATAAAAGCATAATATGCTAATTAGACCAGATGTCCTTATGGACGTCCTTCCAGATGACCTTCCAGATGAAGCCGGGGCTGTGAGGGCCAAGCCCCTTGCACAAATTTCGTGCATCAGGCCTCTCGTTATTAATAAAGCTGTAATAAAGGTCCTTAAAATTTTTTTATTAATCTTTATTGTTGAAAGTATTACATATGTTCCCATTTTCCCCCATTGGCCCCCTCCATCCCGCCCCCATACTCCACCGTAGACCTTCACCACCCTATTGTCTGTGTCCATGGGTTATGCATATATGCATACCAGGTCTTTGGTTGATTATTTCCCACCCATCCACCCTCCCCAGCCTTCCCTCCAAGATTCCACACTCTGTTCCATGCTTCCATGTCTCTGGATCCACTCCTTTTGTTATAAACATCCTTGTACAGGGTTTTGTATGGACATAAGTTTTAAGTTCCTTCAGTTGAATACCAAGGAGCACTATTGCTAAATTGTATAGTGAGACTATGGTTAGCTTTGTTAGACCTGCTGAACTGTCTTCCAAAGTGGCTGTACTATTTTGCATTGCCACCAGCAATGAATGAGAGCTCCTGTTGTTCAATATCCTCACCAGCATTTGGTGTTGTCAGGGTTTCAAATTTTGGCCATTCTAAGAGGTGGGTAGTGGTATCTCATTGTTTTAATTTGCATTACCTTGATGACATATGATGCATCGTGGCATATGTTTAGTTGTCATCTGTATATTTTCTTTGGTGATGTGCCTTTTCAGGTTTTTTGCTCATTTTTTAATCAAGTTGTTTATTTTCTTATTGTTGAGCTTTAAGTGCCCTTTGTATATTTTGCATACCAGTCTTCTATCAGATGTGTCTTTTGCAAATACTTTCTTTCGGTCTGTGGCTTACTTTCTCATTCTCTTGATACTGTCTTTCATAGAAGTTTTCAATTTTAATGACATGTAGCTTATCAATTATTTCTTTCATCGATTGTGCCTTTGGTGTTGTATTTAAAAAGTCATCACTATACCCAAGGTAATCTATATTTTCTCCTCTGTTTTCTTCTAGGAGCTTTATAGTTTTATTTTACTTTTAGGCCTATAGTCATTGTAAGTTAATTTTTGTGAACGTTAAGGTATTTGTCTAAATTCATTTTTTGCATGTTGATGTCCAGTTATTCCAGCGCCATTTGTCTAAAATAGCAATTTTCAACCCTTTTCATCTCATGGCACACACAAACTAATTACTAAAATTCTGCAGCACTGCAAAATTTACATATATTTTTTGCGGATCTGTCAAAAATAGTTATAATTTTTATTCATTCACATCAATGGCTATTGTGTTGGCTGTTGTCATCTTTTATTTGACAATCTAAGGGAAAAGAGGTCAGTGCCCTGACTAGTCAGGTATTGCATGTTTTAAAAATTCTTGCAGCACACCAGTGTGCTGCAGCATACCAGTTAAAAATCACAGGTCTAGCCCTGACTGATTTGGCTCAGTGGATAGAGCGTCGGCCTGCGGACTGAAGGGTCCCAGGTTCGATTCCGGTCAAGGGCATGTACCTTGGTTGTGGGCACATTTTCAGTAGGGGGTGTGCAAGAGGCAGCTGATCGATGTTTCTCTCTCATCAATGTTTCTAACTCTCTATCCCTCTCTCTTCCTCTCTGTAAAAAATCAATTTAAAAAAATCACAGGCCTAAAGCACCATCTTTGCTCCTTTGTATAAGATCAGTTGACTGTATTTATGCTGGTCTATTTATAGGCTCTCTATTCTGTTCTATTGATCTATTTGACTATTCTTTCACTAATACCACAGTCTTAATTACTGTGGCTTTATAGTAAGTCTTGAAGTAGGGTAGTGTCAGTCCTCCAACTTTGTTCTCCTTTAATATTGAGTTGGCTTTTCTGAAACTTTTGCCTCTCCATATAAATTTTGTTATTTTAAAAAATATATAGTTGTATTGATTTCAGAGAGGAAGGGAGAGGGAGAGAGAGATAGAAACATCAATGATGAGAGAGAACCATTGGCCGACTGCCTCCTGCATGCCCCACACTGGGGATCAAGCCTACAACCCTGGCATATGCCCTGACTAGGAATTGAACTGTGACCTCCTGGTTCATAGATCCATGCTCAACCACTGAGCCACACTGGCTGGGCAAATTTTTTGAGAGAAAGAGAGAGAGGAGAGAGAGAAGAGAGAGAGAGAGAGGAGAGAGAGATCCCATACACATGTGCCCTGACTTGAAATCAAAATATCAACCTTTTGGTGCACGGGGTGGTGCTCAGCCAACT